TCAGACCTGTAGCCAGGATTTTGTTTGGGGGGGGGGGGGGGCTGAGTCCTTGAAAGAGGGGCTACCCTAGCAAACCTTTTGTATCGTTACCCCAATACCCCCATGCATATGGGATATATTGAGTATGGTGATCAGATCATGATATGAATAAACATAACAGTTTAAATAATGCACCAGTAAGGTGCATTGGTTTGAGGTGCTTGTAAGCATCATCTTGGCCCCAAACTGCTTCCAGGGATTGCAATGTAATCATCTGCACTTCTATGTTTAACCTTTGATTTAATAATCGGTACAGATGTGCCCAAAGACAGAACAGGCCACCTTATTTGCTGCAATGTCAATTAAGTAAGTGGCTCCTTATCTTTACACACCTACCTCTTCCTTTACTTGAAATATTCTTAGAAATGATAGTAGAAAGAGAACCAAGGAGATAAATACAAAGTGTGGATTGAAAAGGCAAAGGCTAACTAAGGGAAAAGGCAGGGATATAACATAAATGAAGAAATAATAAGAAATGACAATGTTTTTAACATGACAATCCATTTATTTTCTTTTCAGCTCCAGTAGCAATTAGGAGTCAAGATGAAGTGTCCTTTCCTGCTCGCAGGAGCAGCTCAGCTTTCCAGCACTTTAAGCTACCATTAAAATGACTCTGGAGTTTGTCTATATCTTGCTTGTTGTTATCCACTTCTAATTCATCTGCACCATTAATTAAATTTGATTGAGTAAGTTCAAGTTTTAACAATTCAAACAAGATAAGATTTTAAAAAATCACGGTAGCCCAATATAAGCTTTCATTAATTATGATCACTGGTGTTAGGGGCAATTAAAAGTGGGCATTCCAGCTTGTCAATATCTCTCTTCAATTGTGGTGCCCAGAATTGGACACAATATTCCAGATGTGGTCTAACCAAGGCAGAATAGAGCGTGGGTAGCATGACATCCCTGGATCTAGACACTATACTCCTATTGATGCAGGCCAAAATCCCATTGGCTTTTTTTGCCGCCACATCACATTGTTGGCTCATGTTTATTTATTTATTAATTATTCGAACTTATATACTACCACTCCCCTGGGGCTCGGAGCGGCTTACAAGAACAGGCTAAAATCTAACACAATTTAAAAACAATTTACAACAATTTAAAAACAGCAATATCAAAAATCAAAGGCCTGTCGAAACAGGTATGTCTTACATGCCCTGCAGAAAGCTGATAAGTCCCGCAAGGCACGGACTTCAGGTGGCAGAGTATTCCAGCGTGATGGTGCCACTGCTGTAAAGGCTCTGCGTCTGGTTACTGTTAGACACAAGGTCTTGACATTGGGAATTTCCAACAAATCTTGGTCCTCAGAATGGAGGGATCTCTGGGGTTGGTGGGGGTGAGGCGGTCCCTCAGGTACATCGGCCCCAGACCATGCAAGGCCTTAAAGGTAAGTACCATCACTTTGAAAGTGATCCGGTGCTCAATTGGTAACCAATGCAGCTGCAGTAAGATTGGTGTTATGTGGCATCTCATTGGAATTGTTGTCCATGAGAACTCCAAGATCTTTTTCACACATACTGCTCTCAAGCTAGGCGTCCCCCATTCTGTATCTTTGCATTTCATTTTTTCTCCCTAAGTGGAGTATCTTGCATTTGTCCCTGTTGAATTTCATTTTGTTAGTTTTGGCCCATCTCTCTAATCTGTTAAGATCATTTTGAATTCTGCTCCTGTCCTCTGGAGTACTGGCTATCCCTCCCAATTTGGTGTCATCTCAAAACTTAATGATCCTGCCTTCTAACCCTTCGTCTAAGTCATTAATAAAGATGTTGAACAGGGCCCAGGACAGAGCCCTGCTTGTGGCACTTCGCTTGTCACTTCTTTCCAGGATGAAGAGGAAGCATTGGTGAGCACCCTCTGGGTTCGTCCGCTTAACCAATTACTGGTCCACCTCACCGTAGTTTTGCCTAGCCCACATTGGACTAGTTTCCTTGCCAGAAGGTCATGGGGGACCTTGTCGAAGGCTTTACTGAAATCCAGGTACGCTACATCCATGGCATTCCCCACATCTGCCCAGCTTGTAACTCTATCGAAAAAAGAGATCGGATTAGTCTGGCATGACTTGTTTTTGCTAAATCCGTGTTGACTATTAGTGAACTCTCATGTTTCCACAGCACTGAGCCATGCCAATCAAAGTTGTATCATACAACACTATTATTTGACTGACACAAAAACACAGTATGTCACAGCAAATGAGAGATATATGCTGCATTATTATTATTATTATTATTATTATTATTATTATTTCTTACCCTCCTCTACTCATGGCTTGAGGTGGGTTACAACATTGTTAAACCATACTTTCATCTAAAAACATTCTTTAAAATACCCATATTAAAACTTGTCTTAAGAAGGAGCCCCTGGTGGCGCAGTGGGTTCGAATCCGGGGAGAGGCGGATGAGTTCCCTCTATCAGCTCCAGTTCCTCATACGGGGTCATGAGAGAAGCCTCCCACAAGGATGATAAAAACATCAAATCATCCGGGTGTCCTTGAAGACTGACAATTCTCTCACACCAGAAGCGACTTGCAGTTTCTCAAGTCACTCCTGACATGACAAAAAAAAAATCAGGTGCCTAAAGCAGATCGCTGTCATTTCCCTGCAACCAGCTCTCCATTTCTCCTTCCTCCAGCTCAACCTCTTCGGCAGGGAGATGGGCGGGAACTAAAGCCGTTGCTGTTGCAGTGGAGGCCTTCCCTTTTGCAACTTTGGGAGCAGGTGATGGTTTTTGGCTGGGGGGTTTATCACCCATGGTCAGGCTTGTTCCTTTTGGGCATTCTGCCACCACCGGCCCTTGCACCCACACGTGAAGCATGTCCCTCGCCTTCCCTTCCTCTCTCTGCTCATCGACCAGCCTCTTGGGGAAGGGTGTCACATCCCTCCGGCTTGACCCACCGCTGGATGCCTGGTACGGCCCTCCTCTCTGGAACGACGCGGCATCTGCTCTTTGTTGTATTTCACTCTCCTGGCCAACATAATCCAATTGTCTAAGTTGTCTGGATTGCCAGGATACGGAAGAAAATGTTTTTAAGTACAAGAGGGAACTTCCTTACACAGGATGCTTGTGGTTAACTTCAAATGTTGTTTTTGAAGCGCAGAGGCTGCATATACAAGAAGGTACTTTCCATCAAAAAGTCAAGAGAGGGGGCTGGAAAGGGAGTACTTTTCCATGACAAAAAATGTTCTTGTTTACTTGAGGTTATATATTTGGTGGTCAAAAGCCAAGGGGGCACGGCAGTCATTTGAAGGGTAGCATCTGTGCATGCTGCCCGGCTGTCCGTCTTCTTCATGAAGAAACTAAAATAAAACCTTGTTTTTTTTATCTTTCATTGGGACTGTCTTCTTCCTTCCGTGCTCCTGCAACGTGGACCTAAAACGACCCAATTTAGGGTTTCTAACACTACAAAGCGTAGAGCTTTTTCGACCTATGCTCCAATTCTGTGGAACTCATTGCCTCCATACATTAGAGCAATGTCGTTGCGACCTTTTGTAAAGGCACACAAGACTTGGCTGTTTGGTTGTGCATTTAAGTAATCAGATCTAATTTGCCAAATAGTCACTGTTGTATGTTTTTATGTTGAATGTTTTTATATTGTGTAAATGCTATTTTAGATTGTAAGTCGCTCGGAGCCCCTTGGTGAACGTCTAATTAAGAAATAAAGTGAAGTCACAGTGAATTCTATAGTACAGGGGTCCTCAAACTAAGGCCTGGGGGCCAGATACGACCCTCCAAGGTCATTTACCCGGCCCTCGCTCAGAGTCAATCTAAGTCTGAAACGACTTGAAAGCACACAATAACAACAACAATCCTATCTCATCAGCCAAAAGCAGGTCCACACTTCTCATTGAAATACTAATAAGCTTATATTTGTTAAAATTGTTCTTCATTTTAATTATTATATTAATTTTATGTGTTTTTTGCATTACAATTAATATATGTGCAGTGTGCATATGAATTCACTCATGTTTTTTTTTCAAATTATAATCCGGCCCTCCAAGTTTGAGGGACTGAGGGAGACTGAGGGTCTGGAGAACAAGCCCTATGAGGAGCGGCTTAAGGAGCTGGGCATGTTTAGCCTGAAGGTAAACTTAAAAGATCCATAGCACCATTGGTAACAGCTGACTTCCAGTTACAACACTGGAGTGTCAGGGCTTCCCAGTTCTTGGTGTTTATACCAGTTTTAAGTTTACCTTTAAGAGAAGGCTGAGGGGAGATATGATAACCATGTATAAATATGTGAGAGGAAGCCAAAGGGAGGAGGGAGCAAACTTGTTCTCTGCTTCCCTGGAGACTAAGACACAAAACAATGGCTTCAAACTACAAGAGAGGAGATTCCATCTGAACACGAGGAAGAACTTCCTGCCGTTCAGCAGTGGAACTCTCTGCCCCGGAGTGTGGTGGAGGCTCCTTCTTTGGAAGCTTTTAAACAGAGGCTGGATGGCCATCTGTCAGGGGTGATTTGAATGCAATATTCCTGCTTCTTGGCAGAATGGGGTTGGACTGCATGGCCCATGAGGTCTCTTCCAACTCTTTGATTCTATGATTCTATGACTGTGATCTGGCCCTCTGTTTAAAAAGTTTGTGGACCCCTGCTATTTTAGATGCACTATCAATCGGCTAAAACTTTAAATGCGGGTCACGCGGCATTCTTCCCTTTTTCTATCTCTATGGTCCTGAGCGTTCTCCTAAAGTGGGACCCGCTCGTCACAAACTGGCGAATCGCTGGAGAGGATTGGGGTGACGTCACCACGGTGAGGCCGGAAGTACGTAGCAGCGTGCGGTGGTCCCACCTCCGTCTCCAGGAAGCACCCATCTTCCCGCTTCATCGGCGGGAGTGGAACAGGGTGCGAAGATGCCAGTGGCCGTGATGGCGGCGGCGGCGAGTGGCGCCTTCAGCTACCGGAAGCTGCTGGAGCAATGCGAGACTCAGGAGCTGGAGGTCAGGAAGGGAACCGGGCGTGGAATAGGCTTCCCTCGCCTCTCGCTTTCGAGTCTGGGACGGGGCCCTCCTCGTCACCCTCACAAACCCAGGGTTTGACCGTCTCGCCTGAAAGCCGGGGTTTCCCTAGGCTGAAAGAGCAAAGTGGGAATGAATGGGCCGCCCTCACCAGTTCCTCTGTGGACACATGCTAGAATGAGTGCGGTTTGGCACCACCTTAACTGCCATGGCATAATTCTGGGACGCATGGAAGTGGTAGTTCTACAAGGTCTTTTAGCCTCCTCTGCCGAGTGTTTCAATAAACTACAAACACTGTGATTCCAGAGCATTCAGCCATGTGGTGTCCCCTTCACTGCTATGTAATCCACATTATCAAAGCAGATAGTCCACAATATTTGCTTCGATTATATGAGTCTACATTGCTAAATAATCCAGTTCAAAGAAGATAATCTGGATTTATATGGTATTTATTTATTATTATTTGTCGTGTCAGTGCAACCAGTCAATTATATTACATTTCTAACAGAACAAAGCAAACAAACAGACAAAATACAAAATTTGTGAGTTTGGTAGTTGATTAAATGTCCTTTGACCAGTATCTGGCCACTTGGAGTGCCTCTGGTGTTGCTGCAAGAAGGTCCTCCATTGTGCATGTGGCAGGGCTCAGGTTGCATTGCAGCAGGTGGTCAGTGGTTTGCTCCTCTCCGCACTCACATGTCGAGGATTCCACTTTGTAGCCCCATTTCTGAAGGTTGGCTCTGCATCTCGTGGTGCCAGAGCGCAGTCTGTTCAGCGCCTTCCAAGTCGCCCAGTCTTCTGTGTGCCCAGGGGGGAGTCTCTCATTTGGTATCAGCCATTGGTTGAGGTTCTGGGTTTGAGCCTGCCACTTTTGGACTCTCACTTGCTGAGGTGTTCCAGCAAGTGTCTCTGTAGATCTTAGAAAACTATTTCTAGATTTAAGTCGTTGACGTGCTGGCTGATACCCAAACAGGGGATGAGCTGGAGATGTCTCTGCCTTGGTCCTTTCACTATTGGCTGCTACTTCCCGGCAGATGTCAGGTGGTGCAATACCAGCTAAGCAGTGTAATTTCTCCAGTGGTGTAGGGCGCAGACACCCCATGATAATGCAGCATGTCTCATTAAGAGCCACATTTTATATGGTAGTGTATAAACATTCTCAAACTGCATTCCTTCCACAGTCTGGATGCACCTATAGTTTTTAAAACACAGTTGCCGTGATTTCAAAGAAATTCATATGAATGAAGAGCAGCGTTTCTCAAACTAGCTCTGCTCTTCCAGGTCTTTTGGACTTCAGATCTCAAAAATGCTAACAGTTTACCAGCTGTTAGGAATTGTGGGATCTGAAGTCCAAAACATCTGGAGGAATACAGTTTGAGAAACTCAGATTAGAGAAAAACATCTCATGAGATGTGATCTTCTTGGTATTTGTATAGATATATGTTCTGTAGAGTGTGGGTATCTGTTATCTGAACTCCAAAATTATTATTGTTATTATGTTTATTTATACACTGCTTTTCTTTCCACAAGAAGATGCAAAGTGACTGAAGTTAAAAGAATTTTTGTTACAATATAAAATTTACAACTATACAAACATTAAGGCAGAATCAAATATCATTGATATTTTTAAAATTCAATTAAGATTCATAAAAACATATTCAAAACTTTATTCAACTTGTCTTGATGGGTGGCAGAGAGAGTGACAACTTTGTTTTCTGATGATTCAATGCACACATACTTTTATTGTGTATACATTTACTTCCAGGCTATGTGTATAAGACCCATGCGAAGCATACAGTAAATAAATTTAATGTTTAAGGCCCCTTCTACACTGTCATATGAAATCCAGATTATCTGCTCAGAACTGGGTTATATGGCAGTGTAAACTGATATAATCCAGTTCAAAGCAGATAATGTGCATTATCTGTTTTGATAATCTGAATTATATGGCTGTGTAGAAGGGGGCTTAGGATCCTTTTACACTGTCCTTATATCCCAGGATCTGATCCCAGGTTATCTGCTTTGAAGTAGATTATATAAATCTGCACTGCCAGATAATTTAGGATAAACAGATAATCTGGGATCAGATCTTGGGACATAGAGGCAATGTAGAAGGGGCCTCAGACTCCTAGAATCCTATCTCATGAACAGTTTTCAAGTCAGTTGTCACACATCTTATATCACAGCTGTGTTCGGCATCCAAGATTTTAGAAGAGTCCCTACACAAGATTATCTGATTTGAACTGGATAATATGACAGTGTAGACACATATAATCCAGTTCAAAGAAGATGTGGATTTTATGTGGCAGTGTAGAAGAGACTAAAAGCACAATTGTGTTCTGTGTTTGTTCTAAGAGGTCCCAGGACCTGATATTAAAATAATTCTCTATCAACGCTTGTCCCACACCATCTGTATCAGTATGTTGAGAGCAACATGTCATCAGAGGGGTCTGAAAATACGAAGTACATTTATGCATATACATGTATTCTAGAATAATCATAAAATCAAAACTCTTCAGATCTGAAGCCTTTTGGATAAGGCATACTCAATGTATAGTCCTTTTACTGTGTTGGAAGTTTTGCAAGCAGTTCAAGCACGTTGGTTGAATATGTGGACTTACTTACATGGCCTCAACTGAAAAAATATAGGTAGATTTGTCTCTTCCCTGCTTCATGAGAAATAGGACTCAGTATCACAACCCTGACTATTTGTGCTCGGGTTCTGCATCCCTAAGAGTGGTATTAATGTCAGCTAGCAAAGTCTCATAATTTAAGGAATGGTGGTTCTCTTTCTAAATACTGAGTTCATAGTTGTTTATTTGCGAAGCAGCCAGCTTATAGCTCCTGCACGTGTACTTTTCTAAAAAAAATATAATATATTCCTAAATGTATCTTCTCACAGGAAAAAGGCTGCCCTCTTGACAGTTTTTCAGAACTGCAGTAAATGCAATGGTGGGGGCTCCTTCTTTGAAGGTTTTTAAACAGGCCAGTTAGCCAGATGGCTATCCAGGGATACTCAGGGGTACTATGATCAGGGGTACTTCGATTATGCTTTTCCTACATGGCAGAGGTCAGACTGGATGGCCCATGTGGTCTCTTCCAACTCTTATAATTCTATGAAATGACCAACCAGCCCTTGATGAGAGTATTAAGAAAGGAACTCCATGGTCTTTTCTGGTTTGTACCAAGGAGAAATTCAGTGGTAGCTATCTTAACCATTTGAATGTGCAGGTTAAATGTGAGGATGAAAGAGTTTTGAGTTCTGAAAGATTCTTCCCAACAGACACACAAGAGACCTTTTTCATGAAAAGGAAAAATGCAGGCATTTATTTATACCAGCTGGGATTGCCAGAGGCCTGCTACAAAATAATTCTGACAACCACCAATAGTAACAAGCCATCTTTGGTAATTAAGCATTATCACCAGAGATCAAAAGGAACATATCCTCTTTTGTATAAATAGAATGAAGTGTTTGTTTGTGGGATTAACATAACTAAAAAACCACTGGACAAATTGACACCAAATTTGGACACAATACACCTATCAGGCCAATGAGTGACCATCACTCATAAAAACACTGAAAAACACAGTGGAAGGGGCTTAAAAAGCCAAAAAATAAAATAAAAAATACATTACAATGCATGTGCTAAACCACATACATAGATGCAAACACACATATATACACAAATATATACACACACAAAACACATATACACAGATTGGGCCACAGCAATGCATGGCAGGGGACAGCTAGTAGAAGATAAATTGCCAGTCTTGTATCTATGCCAGCACGTTAAGATGTGCAGCTGTTTTTACAAATAGGTGGGGAATATCAACTACAATGTTAGCTCTCCCAAGAAAAAGAAAATTACAGCTGTGCTTCAGCTGTCATGGCTGTCTACCTTTCCGGGCCTTGTTATCAGAGAGGTTTTGCATTTCCAGCTGCAAGCACACTGAACAAAAATCTACATTTTGCAAAGTGCTTAAACCTTATAATGCCCATTATAAAAGTGATATGAAATAATAGAAATATTGCCCTTACCACAGTGGTTCCCAAACTTTTTTTGACCAGAGACCACTTGACCAAGGACTACTTGATCAGGTACCACTTTGACCAGGGACCACTCTCCAACATTAGTACCAAAAGGATTATGAATCAATTTTTGGTCAACTTTGATTTGATTTGGGGTGCTAATACAGAAAATTGCATTGAATAGACCATATCAGCTATAGTTTCTGATATGGAACATATGCCATGGTCAGTGATAGGGAAGAAGTGGCAAGTGACATGAAAGGAGTAGAAATACAATGAATAGAATAAAATAAATAAATAAATAGAGAGGAAGGAGGCTCACATACCAGATTTTAATTATCGCGGCCCACTGGTGGTCTGTGGCCCACAGGTTAAGAACTACTGCCTTACAAGGAAGCATCCCTTTCTGTCCAGCTTTTGAATGCTATGGGTGGAGAATGGACCTCTTGATATATCTAATCGCAAACTGTCACAAGAGCTTTGGATAGATGTACTTCAGAAATAATACAAGGGAAGCCATGACTATGAGACAAAAGCATATGGATGTGGAATAGAGACACATTGTGAGTATTTTGGTTGTGTCCTGCTAAAGCAGTGGTTCTCAACCTGTGGATTCCCAGATATTTTGGCCTTCAACTCCCTGAAATCCTTACAGCTGGTAAACTAGCTAGGATCTCTGGGAGTTGTAGCCCAAAACACCTGGGGACCCACAGGTTGAGAACCACTGTGCTAAAGTAAGGTGGCATTCTGTTTTTCTGTGCTATAACACACTTCTACACAAAATGGCACAAGTTTCTGTCATGTATCTTTGGTTAGAATTGTATGGCCCTCTATGTGTTGTTGGATTTAATTATTCCTCATCATTTGCTATGCTTGCTGGGGTTGGAAACTCCAGACCAGCAAATACCTGAAGGGCCTGAAGAGTCTCGTTCTAATGAATGTTGTGAGAGAGATACTTCAAGCATTTTAGGGTGCTCTAAAGCCTGAGATATCCCAAATATTTCATAACCACGTGTACTAATATATATTTTGGGCTACATTGGAATCCTACTGCTCCTGGGGTCCTAGCCCAGCCCTCTTGGACTCTCTAGGTGATCACACCATCATTTGATTTATACCATCTGTATATTTCTCCCTGTTGCTTTCTCTTTGCTAGTTTCAACCAGTGGCGCTTTTCGAGCAGGAGTATTGTCTCCCTTCGTCTGGGCCGCTGCCCCTTTCCAGTAGTCAACAGCTCGATGACCTTCCTTCCCGCAAATGAAGCAGGCTCCCTTCCACTCTCTTGTTGGCCAATCGACCCCTCGCAGGAGATCCTGCAAGGTGTCGCCTTTGCACTCCACCTCTAGGGTGCCGCTGTATTTGTTCTTTTTCACACTCTACTCTCCCTGCCAACACACTCCATTGATCCAAAGTATCAGGATTGTCACAATGTAGGGCCCATTCTGGTAAATCTGCTCTTAAGTCCCATTCTGAAGTATTCAAGTTTGGTTGCTTCTGACCAGTCTCGAAATTTCCCTGCCACCACTTTGAATCCAAAAACATATTCAGAAAGTGGATGGGCCCCCGATAAATCTTCCTTAACTGTCACTTAGCCTTCGTCTCTGCCAGCGGATCCTGGAACCTGTCACTAAGGGTCCTCATCTAGCTGCCTTAACTCTGGAACTCTTGTGCCATACATTTACATTAGCCAGTCAGCTGCTGACCCTTTCAGATTCGCCACTACGGCATGAACCTTTGCCCATTCATAGAGTCATAGAGTTGGAAGCGACCTCGTGGGCCATCCAATCCAACCCCCTGCCAAGAAGTAGGGGAATCATGTTCGAAGTCCGAAGAGGAGCACCCCATAATCTTCCATAAAATGTCTTACATTCGTAATGAAGTAGGAGAGCTGCGTCGGGCCTCTGTTGAACTTTACCTGCAGCTCCCCTCTCCCAGTCGCCATCTGCAGCTGACTTCTCCCCAATAATTCTGAGGGAAAGCCCGAGGTGCCCAGTTGTTCTGCTTCCTCCACCTTGTCTGCAAACATCACTTGCCTTTCCCTGAGATTGGCTTCGCCTTTGATCCCTTTGTTCTGCAACAGCCATCCATGAAGCCATAACCTCTTTTCTCATTTCATTCAACTGAAAGGAGAAGATCTATAGCATTCTCTCCATAGAGTTGACTTTCCGCGCCAACCTTTCAGTTTCCGAAGGGATCTCTTCTAGCTCTCCTTCTTTCGCTGCCTGGGGGATTTTTCACTGCTCAGTCATTCCTCTCCCCGCTGGCACTTGGGTGGAAGTTAGGGGCAGCCCAGTCATCAAGGGTTGCTGTCAGCTTAGCTTCCAGTTTGAGTGCTCTAGCCAAAGCCTCTTGAGCGCTCAGCTCATGGCTGATTGCTGCCCCTGTCTCCAACAAATCTTCAGACCCGTCTGATGACATGTTGCTCTCACCATACTGATACAGATAATGCGGGATAAGTGTTGATAGAAAGCTGTCTTAATGTCAAATGTAGTCCCGAAATCCTCTAAAATTTAATCCCGACTGCAGTCTTCATTTTTCTAATTTACTGATTATAAATGGCTGCTCAAAAAGGCCCTTTGTCAGATGCTGTTGAACTAGTAGATATCCTTGTTCCCATATTCTCTTTTGAAGTTGGGGAAGTAGAAGCATTCTGAAGCCACAGAGACAAACCCAACCTCCTCCTCTGAGTATAGCTGAAGATTGCGTGTGGTACACAAGTAAGAAATACTTTCTCAGGCAGTCAAAACACAAGACTTTTTGATAGATCTGAATTTGAGGATCATATCTGTAATTGTGCTTTTAGGCCTCATCTACACTGTCACATAAAATCCACATCTGCTTTGAACTGGATTATATGTGTCTACACTGTCATATTATCCAGTTCAAATCAGATAATCTTGTGTAGGGACTCTTCTAAAATCTTGGATGCCGAACACAGCTGTGATATAAGATGTGTGACAACTGGCTTGAAAACAATTCATTTGATAGGATTCTAGGAGTCTGAGGCCCCTTCTACATTGCCCTATGTTCCAAGATCTGATCCCAGATTATCTGTTTATCCTAAATTATCTGGCAGTACAGATTTATATAATCTACTTCAAAGCAGATAACCTGGGATCAGATCCTGGGATATAAAGACAGTGTAAAAGGGTTCTAAGGCCCCTTCTACACTGCCATATAATCCAGATCATCAAAGCAGATATCCCACATTAATCTGCTTTGAACTGGATTATATGGGTCTACATTGCCATATAATCCAGTTCAAAGCAGATAATCTGGATTTTATATGGCAGAATAGAAGGGGGCTTAGTAGACCATAAGCTGAACATGAGTCAACAGTGTGATTCTAGGCCGCATCAACAGGAATCTAGTTTCTTGATTGAGAAAAGTCATAATCCCATTCAATTCCGCTTTTACCTCACCTGGAATATTGTGTCAAGTTTTGAGCACCACAATTAAGAAGGATAGAATTGTTCAGAGGAGAGAGACCAAAATAATTCAAGGTTTGGAAACCAAGTCCCATGAGGAACACCCTGTTTAGTTTGAAGAAAAGAAGCCTGAAAAGGGGACATTATAGTCATGCTTAAATACTTGGAAGAATGTCACATTAAGGAGGGATCAAGATTGTTTTATGCTGCTCCAGAGACTAGGGGCCCTTCTATACTGCCATATAGTCTAGAATATCAAGGCAGATTTATTTATTTACTTACTTACTATGTTTATATACCATTTTCTCCCCCTCAAGGAACTCAGAGGTTTCCTACATTATAAAGGCAAAATTCAATGCCATACATACACGTGAAAACCAAAGGATAATAGCAAGACAATAACATTCAACTATAAATTAACCAAACCAAATTAAAACATAAATATAAAATGTTTTGTGAAAAAGAAATATTTATGTGATGTCCCGGCTTCAAACTGTGCTTCAGGTGGGTAAATTGTCCCTGATCTTAGTCTGAAATGCATCGCCCAATTCTCTGAATTCCCTACTCTAAATTAAATTACACTTTTGATGGGCCATGGTAGCACAGCAGGTTAAATGGCTAAGCTGCAGAACTTGCTGATCAGAAGGTCGGTGGTTCAAATCCACTGACAGGGTGAGCTCTCATTGTTAGCCCCAGCTTCTGCCAACCTAGCAGTTCAAAAACATGCAAATGTGAGTAGGTACCACTTTTGTGGAAAGGTAACAGCGCCCCATGCAGTCATGGGGTGCAGGCCCAAAATCAATAAGAACATCAGCCCTAGTCTTGTCTGGTATTTTTATAATTAGAAATACCTAGTTAATTTTTAGTATTTCTGACATCGTTTTGCATGAAGGCATCTTAAGAAGTTACACAGTTGCTAGGAATCTAGGTCCTTTTCAGCCAATATAAAAAGAAACATAAATCTTTTAACTAACCCATTTGTATTCTTCATATGACACGGATGTTCTGTACTTTGGATGTGTAAGGGGAACTGGGAGTTGGGACCTTTTCTCCAGCCCTGACCAGACTTTCTCTGAGTGAGGTTCCTGTCTCGGTCCTTTTTCTTTGTGTTCTCTCCTGGCATTGTGGTCCTTTCAGGCTTTTCATTACTTCTTTCGTGGAAGCATCTCCCCAAGGCAGTCATTCTCATTATTCAGATGTCTTTCAGTCTCTGACTCTTTCGTGCTCAGCCCAATAAAGGTAACCTAACGCAATCCATCATTAACTCTTGGTTGCAGGAGAAGAGACTGTACCCTTCAGTTGTGTTGCCCAGATAATGGGGAAACTGATTATCACAACCAGATTTTTAAAAATCAGCAGATGCCAAGTTGCATAGTTTTACAAAGTATTAGGTGAGGATAAGCTTCAGAGATTAAAGAACCAACTTTAAGTTTTATAAAATGTTCTTTCAATACTTTGAAGTCTCATTATAGTGGCACCTTGGTATCTTCTGGATTTTGGTTCCAACGTCACATGTGGATGCCAAAATCTGTGGATTCTCAAGTTCCATTATATACAACAGTGTATTAAAATTGTTTCCCCATAGACGAAATGATAAAAATCAGTTCTCTTTTGGGGATTTAAAAAAAAATATTCCCAAGCCCAGATTGTTCAATTTGTGGATACATAGAGCTCATTGTAGATACATTTGGTAGTCACCACACAAAATGAAGACTTTTGCTCTTGCACACTTTTATTTTTTGGGTATGAAGAAGTGCAAGTCTTCCTTTGTTGGTTTTCTCCTCCACTGGAATCACAGCTATAATGGCGGAAAACACGTACATTGAACTTTTCTTTTTTAAATGATATCTAAATGAATACAATTGAGATGAGGAATTCATGTTTTATTTGTATTGTGGGAAAAGGAAGGACTATGAGTGTTGCATTATCTAAAATAAATCACTTTGATTTTTTAAAGGCCCCTGGCGGAATAGCAACACCACCTGTTTATGCCCAACTCCTTGCTTTGTATCTTTTGCATAATGACATGTAAGTAATTATTTTTAATGTCTCTAATATGGGATTTGAAGAGAGTATAGTAGCATGCTGTATGCATTTATTTCCACTGATTTCTTGCTAGATTGAAATATGGTAGTAAGATCTGGCAGAAACAAGTCAGGGTTATGAACTACTTCATAAGATCATGATTAATAATAGTTTGTTTAGTCATCAAGCAGTGTTCACTAATATACTTAGTTTTACACAACAAGCCAGTATTCTCCAGAATTCTGTCTGTCTTTGATGTGGTATTACGTACAAAAAGTTAATAATTTACTAAAAATGCTACTGCAATTTATTAATCTTCTTTGTCCCTTTGACTGAAGTTCTGTATCTTTGATTGTAGTTCTTGTGTTTGTCTTTAGTAGATGACAATATTATAAAATTATAGTGTTATTTTTATATTTTCAGGAATAATGCACGGTATTTGTGGAAACGAATCCCTCCTGCTATTAAGTCCGTAAGTACTTTTCACTACTATAAAAAGGAGAAATATTATAGACTTCTGCATTTTGTTTCCTTGTGGTATTAAAAAATAGATAGTAGTTGGGTCGCTCTTGATGTTATTATCTTGGAATGTTATTACCATTGTGTCAATAGATACGTTATACTTTGGATTTCAGTGTGATAACAATATGATCACACAATGTGATAACAATATGATTAAAATTCATCTGTTTCCTTCAGTACTCATGAAAGAAGATGTAGTCGTTAATAGGGTACATCCTGAGTTCAGCTGCTTAGGGGTTGGTTTGTGGGATCTCATATGGGAAGAAACACAGAGGATTGTGCTTAATCTTACTAAATGGCAGGTGATTGAAATTGCTGATCTGGAGCTCACTGTATGTCATAGAGGCAGGAGAAGATGTCTTCACTATTCCACACATGTGTATTCCTCCCTGTCCAACTTTCACTACAACAGTGTCTTCATTTTCAGTTTGTTCATGGTGGATTTTGCTTCTGTTTGGGAAGGATGAGAATTATGTCAGGATTGAAATGCGCATGAATCCTAGATGGATAGTTTCAATGGATTACTGGAGCCATGAAGCCAAAAGCTCTGCCATGCAGAATACATAAGTTAAAGTCTTCACAAGAGATGGCCATCCAAACTCTCTAAAGACCTCCAAAGAAGTAGAGTCCACCATCCTCTGAGGCAGTAAATTTCACTGTCCAATAGCTGTTCTATTAAAATGTTTTTCCCCCTAATGTTTTGGTGAAACCCATCCTCTTGTAATTTGAGACCAGTTGGTTTATGTTCTAATCTCTGGAGCAACAGAGAACAAGCTTGCTCAGCCTTCTTGGTGATATCACTTCAAATATTTAGATATGTGTATTGTATTATCTCTCCAAGCTATGTACTTTGATTGTGCTTTTCATGCATGGCAGGAGGTTGGACTGGATGTTCCATGTGGTCTTGTCCAACTCTTTTTTTCTATGTTTCTATGAAGTACATGATGATTTAGCTTCATAAACAGAGTTTGGAAATCAGTTGAATGTTAAATCTTTTGGATGGGTTGTACTTTAATCCAGAATCAGATTATTAGCTGTACAGAATTTCTGTGAAAATTCATAACATTTCACATACTTTTCTCCTGAACATTAGGAGAACATTTCTCTTTACATTAGGATCTCAGTTCAGATATTCTAGAAAGTGATGTAAGTTTGAATCTTTTCTTTAAGTCTCAAGTCTTGGGAGAACCATGCTGAGAGACAGAAGGTATTTTCCCAGCCACTCTCTGAAGTAGGAATTAGGGATAAAAGAACACATCTAGGAGCACATTCTTTTCCGCACTGCACTTGACAGGAGAGGATTAGGTTTGAGGAGGAACTGGAAGAAGATTTCTGCTTCAGTGTACAGAGAGAAGAAAAAGACAAAAGCAAGCACAGGAGTGAGAATAAAAAGAGACGGTCACTTTCAAGGTCACATATCACTGCATGACATGAGTTATGGTAATTTGTGGGAAATCGTTACAGTTCTGAGAATAACAGACCATTTAGGATGGACTGAATACCAAAATGAAGATAATGAGCTGTGCTACAGAAGACATAAATAGCAGCAAAGACACTGGAAATTGTGGCAGAAACATGACTTGGAGCCCATCTTTTAACTAGTAAAAGCAACATTAACTCTGCAGGCAAGTTGTAATTTTATTTAGTGAAGACCACCAATAAATACCAGGTGCTCTATGCTATATTTCATAGGAAGGAACTGGCAAAACCACCTGCAAATATTCTTTATCTCAGGAAACCCCATGAAATCCATGGTGTTGGCATAAGTCAGCAGGCAACTTGAAGGCTCAAACTTTATACAATGTTTTTATACAGTGGTCTCATGAAGTGAGTGAAGGTACTGCAAGTCCCATCATCCATCCTCCTCCAAACAGCACCAGGATGTAGAGTGGGTCATGGGAGCTCTGTGTGCCAAGTTTGGTCTCTATCGGTCTCTGCTGGGGGCAGAGATTTCCACTACTCAACAGCTCTCACAGTCAGGAAGTTCTTTCTAATGTTCAGGTGGAATATCCTTTCCTGTCATTTGAAGCCATTGTTCCACATCCTAGTCTTCAGGGCAGTGAAAGACAAGCTTGCTCCCTCCTCCCTGTGACTTCCCCTCACATATTTATACATGTCTATCATGTCTCTTCTCAGCCTTAGGAATGGAAGTAAACATGACTTGTAATAGATACTGCAAGAGAAAATGCTTATTTCTTCTTTCCAGCAGCCTTATATCTGTGGTCATTTGAATATAGCACAAAGTAGGATGTTTCCTGCTGAGCATCTCAGACAAGTTTCCATTTGTATATGGAAAAGCGGTAGTTTGCATGACCAAACATGGACTTTGATTAGGAAAATTGCTTTGCAGTTAGTGATTTCTGAAACAGATGTGGCTTCCTTCTGAATCATTTTTTTTTATTTTGCAGGCAAATCCTGAACTTGGTGCAATTTGGGCAGTAGGGCAAAGAATTTGGCAGAGAGATTTTCCTGGAATTTATACAACAATTAGTGCACATCAGTGGTCGGAGTCTATTCAGCCAATCATGGAAGCACTGAGAGGTACAAACATTGTTCTATTAGTTCTGTTTCATTCTGTATGATGACTGTGATTTCATGGAAGTGTTTTGCCCATCTTTTCTTTCTTTTTTTTTAAGAAATGCCCAGTTACATTTCCTGTGGACATGTAATCACCCAATTCAAACTTTATCAAATGAATCTTTATCAAATGATAAACCCTCATGTCGCTGTTCTTGCAGTGCCCCAGAGGAGTACTCAGTGTTCATTTGATCAGGTTTGTTGAGATAAATTTCACTTGGGATGTCTTGATGATGTAGACTAAGACTTATGAATCAGTCTGCCTCAGAATATTCTTTTTGTCATTTTTAAAATGCTTGTGGACCAACAAACATAAAATGTAGCATGCTTCTTACGTATATGGTTAGAAATACAAACATGACATAGTACAAAAATATGATATGAAATGCAGGAGAGTAAAATGCTATGGAAAGATATTGTAACGTGGAAGCTTAACCCTTGCCTGCCTTGATCCAGAAGAAGTGGACTGATTGAATGAGTCCAAGAGGTGATAGAAATTTTAATATGTAAGAAAAGCTAATTGCCCTTTTGTGGGTGGGGGCAGCAGTCCTCCCTTTCCTAAAGAGAACTTCCTGGTCCCAGAAAACTGAATGAAGGAAAAGGGGAGCCCTACCTGCATATTTTGGCGGCCTTTGATGCTAGGCTTGTGCATGGATTCATTTGGTTGGTTTGATTTGGCCAATCCTGTTTGTTTAGCTGGCCATAACAATAAGAGCTCAGCCGCCATGTTTTTTCGGCTGAACGGGCCATGTGGCAGCCAATCATGGTTCCTCCTCTCCTATTCGGCATCACACAGCACATGAAGAGGCTGCTGCATGCTCACATGGTGTTTCCGTGTGAGCCCTGCCTGTTGGGCCAATCAGAATAGAAGAACACAGTGACGTGTCTGCAAGCTGTGTCTGTTTAAAAGGGCAAACACCTCACTGCTCTCCGTTGAAACCTGGCTCTAGAGAGGTGCTTCAGGTGCTTGCTCTCAGCTTTATTTTTTGGCTTGGCTTCACCTCTCTCTAGAATTGAATGTTTTCAGTTTTCCTATATTTTCTTGATTCTCACAATTTAGTGGGACTGGCAGTTGGGAAAGTGCAGGACAAATGGTTGGGGTGCGTGTGTGCATTTGGGGACTTGGGAGCATCTCTTTCCTCTTGGTATGCTTTTCTTTGAAAATATTTGGGTGGCTCTGAGAGCCTTGAGTCACCCTTTAGCTTCTTTTTCTCCTCCCCTCTCCTTCAGAAAATACTTCTAAAAGATATTATTTTTAACAAACAAACAGAAAAGCCTCATTCTCAGAAAACTGCCACCTAGTAGCCTACCTACCTATAATTTCATTCCTTTGCAAAGAAATTTTCTCTGTTTATATTTCTCCCTGCCTTCTGAATTTCAAGTAATAATAATAGGTATTAGTAATAAGTAGTAAGAAGAACGACAAAACTTAGTTTTGGGCTTAAATCTGTGGAGAAACTTTGCCGGAACCACCATCTTCACCTTTATAAAATACTTTTAAAAGATAATAATAATTAATAATGATCATCAACAACAAACAAACATTGCATAATGTAAGCAATATTTGGTGGTGTTAAGAAATGGGAGATTATGGGATGTAGGAGGCAACTAGTGATTGCCTGGGAATTTGAAGTGGAATATGGGAAGAGTACATTTGAGGGAAGGATTTGAGTTTCTCATTCGTGGTCTCTGAAATATCACATATGGTAGTTTGATGTGCATGCGCTGCAGTCTCGGAATCCTCTTAACAGTTGTTTGAGCTTTGGCTATAACCTCGCCCAACTTCCCCAGAAGGCATATAGGTGCTGGGAGGGGCTGTAGCCTCAGTTCCTTTTTTTTTTTTTTTACCGCAGCCTTGCAACAGCTATTAGGAACCTCTCTTACTTTACTCACATTTACCTACTTACTTCATTTACCATGGGCTGCTTTGACTACGATTTTGTACTTTTTTCGTATTTTGACCTTGGATTGTGTTTGACTATCCTGAACTTCTGGCTCCCCCAACCTCTGGCTTGTTTTACGGTTACGCTAGGTCTGCCCCAGGATTTAAGAAGTGTCTTGCCTGTGGGAGGTAAACTCCCAGATGCCAATGGGCATGACAAGTACCTCCTCTGTTTGGGCTTCCTGCTTGGCGTTCACACCACAGCCAAGGAAAAACAAGAGAAACACATCTGAAGGTGCTACTCTATGAACGGGCCCTCCTCCCTTCAGCGAAGCACAAGCGGGCGGCTTTTGCCCCACCCCACTGCGCATGCTGACTCCACAGGCAGACTTACCAGCATCTTCTCTGCCAAAGAGACCTCATTCAAAGTCCTCAAAGCAGCTTCTGGTGTGGAAGCACTCCAAGAAGGAAGGACAGAAGAAAAAGAAGAGGAGGAAAAAGGAGCACAGCACGCGCAATGCTCCACATGCGGCCTCCATTTCAGCGGCAACCGAGGCCTTGCAAATGCAAGTGCCATCGATGCTGCTCAGCTTTCGTGTTCGGTGCATAGTTGCTTTTGGCTCACTCCTAGAATACTGGCTCATGGTGGAGGCATAGACTTGCTTCCTCAGAACGAGCCTGGAATAGCCCTCCCTCTCTCCATACCGATGGAGATGTAGGCTCTGCCCAGCAAGGGCGAAACAGCATGGACGGCTCCCACTGAGCCCTGCCTGCTCATGTGGGCCTTGAAGCCCCCTCGACCCGAAAAACAGTATCAGCAGTGAGTTATTGCTCATGCTTTCAGGCACTCTGCACAGGACTTAAAGTCTTTGCCCATAGGGACAGCCTGTCTTCCCTTCTCCACCGAGGAGGACAGAGGCTCATTGCAACCTCTCAGCATGGGTGAACATGAATGTGCCTCCTCAGCCTCTCCCACTGGATTTTGAGCACATCCAAAGCTTGCCAGGAGGCAGATATTATTTTGGAGCACTTTCTGCTGTGCACCGACAACCCCAAGTTCTATCCACACAAGTCTTGCCTGTACAGGAAGAACCCTTGATGCAACATCAAGTTGTTGAACATCACTCTGATTTAGCATCAGACTCAGGTTCATCTCATATTTCAATAAGCAAATGACCCCTCTCTATCACCGGACTTGCCAGTGTCAGAGGATATGGTGGGGTTTTTGGCTCTTATGACTTGTCTGGCATGAGCTCTCAGCTTGCCTGGAGTTCTGTCTGAGCCACCAGTGGATGACCCACTTTTTCCTTCTGACCAATGACAGCAAGGTTCAACACCATCAGCATTGTTCCCTGCATTGCCATACCTGCTTAAGCTGGCACAAACTCCAAATATTTCTCCACTTTCAGTGGCCCAGTTTCACAGAGAAACTGCCCTCTACAAGGTGGACCTGGCACCAGCACCTTGGGCAACAAAACCACCAAAACTCAAATCGGTAGTGGTGAATATGACGCATGGCAAGTGATCCTCTAAAACGCATACTACATCTGCTGATAAAGAAGGGCAGAGGTTGGAAGGCTTAGGCAAAAGGTGCACATGGCTGCAGGTTTTGTAACCCCCTAGCACATTATGGGACATACATGGCCTTCTGTCAAGATTATCTTTGGTGAAAGGTCAGCCCATATCTCCAGATGCTGCCTTAAGAACACCAGATGTTCATGAGGGTTTTTAAACAAGAAGCGTTGTCCCTGTGACAGGCCCAGAAAGATATTGTGAAACATATGACTGACATGGCAGGGAAGTTTTTCACTAAAGCGATGCTTGGCTGTGGGCCTCTATTTTCTCCAAAGAAGGAAGGGACCTTGTACAGAACTTATCTGTTAGTGATACAGGTCTGTTCAATTCAGAAACTGAAATGCAGCTCAAGAGTACACATGGCCCAGAAGGTAGAAGAGGCAACAAGGGGGTCGGCTACTCTCGATCTCATCCTAACAAATACGGAGGACTTGATCGATGAAGTTGAAGTGGTCGGATCCTTAGCGGCAAGTGACCATGTGCGTCTGCAGTTTGAGGTGCAAAACTAAGACAAGTCCAACCCGCATTTTGGAGTTTAGGAGAACGGACTTCCGAAAAATGAAGGAAATACTGAACAGCATTCTGTGGACACAGATACTAAAAGACAAGGGAGTTATGGATGGATGGGAGCTATTCAAAAGTGCAAGGCGCAATTGCAAATAGTACCAACGAAGAGAAAAATAGGACAAGTGCAAAAAAGCCAGAATGAATGTCGAAAGAACTTCTAACTGTGCTAAGACTCTAAAGAGACATACACAAGAAGTGGAAAAAGGGAGAAATCACCAAAGAAGAATTCAAACAAATAGCCAACTCCTGTAGGGAAAAGGTTCACAAGGCTAAAGCACAAAACGAGCGCAGGCTTGCCAGGGACATTAAAAACAATTAAAACTACTTTTCTTATGTCAGTAGAAAAAGGAAGAACAAGGAGGCAATAGGGCCTATTCGAGGAGAAGATGGGACAATGCTGACGGGATAGGGTAAAGGCAGAACTACTTAATGCCTTCTTTGCCTCGATCTTCTCACAAAAAGAAACTCATCTTCAACCTCAGCAAGATGGAGTGGATGAGGGATTAGAGGACATCCAACCTCAAATTGGGAAAGAAGTTGTCCAGGAATACCTGGCTGCTCTAAACGAGTTCAAGTCCACCCGGAAGACTGCCCGGAAGCTGCAATTAGTCCAGCGCTCGGCAGCCAGGCTACTGACGGGAGCATGGGTACAGGGAGCGCACACTTCCTTGCTGCACCAGCTCCACTGGTTGCCAATTAGCTTCCGAGCACAATTCAAAATGCTGGTTTTAACCTATAAATTCCTATATGGTTCCGGCCCAGTTTACCTGTCTGAATGTATTCTCCCCTATGAACCATCAAGGACATTAAGATCTTCCGGTGAGGCCCTGTTCTCGGTCCCACCACCTTTGCAAGCGCGTTTGGTGGGGACGAGAGACAGGGCCTTCTCTGTGGTGGCCCCTCGGCTATGGAACTCCCGAGCGAGATTAGATCTGCCCCCTCCCTCTTGTCCTTCAGGAGGCTAGTGAAATCCTGGTTATGGAACGAAGCATTCCCAGAATAATGGCTGAGACTGATTACAGACCAAAGTGACTGACCACATATCCGGACTGAGTTGAACATGATTTTACCTTGGCGATTTGGTATATATGTATTTTATCTATATGTATTTTAATCTTGTATTGTTGTATGATGTTTTAACTTGTATTAGTAGCATTGAATCCTTTCTGTAAGCCGGTCTGAGGACCTCTACGGAGGTGAGAAGATTGGGATAGAAAAGTTTTAAATAAATAAATAAATAAATTCTGGGCACCACAGTTGAAGAGAGATATTGACAAGCTGGAATGCTTTTCATGGTAAGTAGCTTGCTAGTCTGCCATATGTGCAATTTCACAGAGACCACAAAGAAGAAAGTATGGTTGCTTACTTGTAACCGTGCTTCTTTGAGTGGTCATCTGTGAAATCCGCACATCCCTGCCCATCTTTTGCTCTATTTGTCATGCCTCTTTTTCTAACCTTTGTGATGGTGTGTTTTAGTGTTTAGACCCATTAAATTTGAATAACTAACAATTTAGGAAGTATTCTATTAATATCTTATACTTTTATGTTCAAAGTATAATGGATGTTTTTATTTCGCTTCTGTTAAAGATCACTTATCTTTGAATCGGAGTCCCCAATGGCGCAGTGGGTTAAACCCCTGTGCCGGCAGGACTGAAGACCGACAGGTCGCAGGTTAAAATCTGGGGAGGGGTGGATGAGCTCCCTCTATCAGCTCCAGCTTCTCATGCGGGGACATGAGAGAAGCCTCCCACAAGGATGATAGAACATAAAAAAAAAACCATCCAGGCGTCCCCTGGGCAACGTCCTTGCAGACGGCCAATTCTCTCACACCAGAAGCGACTTGCAGTTTCTCAAATCGCTCCTGACACGACAAAAAAATAATAATCTTTGAATCATTATGCTTGTGATGGTTTAGATTCCAACTCTTGTAGCGCGGTATAGCAACTGACCAGCTCGTGTTATCAGATAACAGGGAGAGAAGGTGTAACCCAAGGGGGGGCTGAGATATGTCAGAGTGTGGGGTCTCAGAAGCACAAGATGAGTGGGGATCTAAGTGGTGTATTGACGAACTATTTCATGAAAGTAAATGAAATAAAGAAGTTGTCTCCTTGGTAGTGGTGTGATCAAGTGTGAGATTCAAAAGGAAAGGTTCCTACAGGCCTAGTAGCTACAATGTGTGCCAAATGGATAGCTTAACAGAGCCATTATTTTATAGTTGCCCTATTCTCAGCTGAGGGGGCTCATTCCATAGCATGGCATTGGTGGATTCTGTTTAGCCTCATGGCCACAAAACTATTGGATGCCACAGGACTCCAATCCATATCTGACCTGCATGTTATTACCTGTGTTTTTGTGGTTTACCTTTAATAAATCATGTGTTTGGCCCTTATGAATGTGTCAGTTTGTCTTTCCCACCTCCGGGACCATAGCTTGCTAATCTTCATATGTGTGCATTCACAGAGTCCACGAAGAAAAATGGTGGGTTACATACCTGTGACCATGTTTCTTCGAGTGGAACTCGGTGAATTCACACAATCCTGCCCGGCCTCCCCTCTTATAAACCTCCTCCTTTCTCACTGCCTTTGCAGCATAGGAACTGCGGAGTGTGCGCGCAGTGTGCCTTTTATGCCCTGCGAGGGGACTGGGCGGGGTTACTGCCAAAACTTGCAATTTTAAACTTGGGAAGTTTCTGTTGGGGCCTGCGCAGGCGTAGACACTCCACATGTGTGAATTCACAGAGTTCCACTCAAAGAAACATGGTCACAGGTATGTAACCCACCATTATCCCTCTTACAGATGCAACTAGGCAACGAGCCTTTGGATTGGTGTCTCAAGCGTATACCTCAATAAGTGCAGATGACTTTTCAGCGTTCGTTGGGCTTCCTGTCGAGGAAGCAGTGAAAGGTACTGAAAAGCCTCTTACTCAAGGAGTGTGCATGCACCAGATTGACCTTGTGTTCATTCGCTATAGATAACACTATGTAAAAAAACTGAAAATGTTTTTGTTCCTGGTTTGAAAGTATTGTTTCCTGTTTAATTGTGCAGTACTTGCGTTGAAAGTAGTTATTACGCCCAGTAATTTTGTTTTTGTGGCTGCCACAAGCTATGTTGAATTGGTTGAGAGTCTCAGAGATATTCATTGAAAAATTATAGCAAAATGTGCTGCAGGATGTCCCACAAAAACTAAGTTTTTGCAGTTTAAAAAACCTTTTCATGATATGATAAAAAACCTTTCTGTTTTATGATAGAACCAATTGGGAATTTATAACCCAGGAACAAAAGTGTTACATCGTGTAATACTCGTAGGTGTTCCATACTCTGTAGTGATTCTGACTGATGATACTCACATCTCACCCTTGCACTATTTTGCTATGTCTCAATAACAACACGAATATTTGTGTAGTTTTAGAAATATAAAAATAAGATGCATAAAAGTTGTAGAGAGAAGTGAGACACTGTTATATCAGAGCATATGTGTATATTCATGGTTTTCAAATGTGTGCATGTTTGAAACATAATAAGGAATTGCACACAACTCCTTGAGTCATCATTTTAAAGCAGTAGGGAAGCTCATGAAGCATGTCAGAAGCATTAATTGGCCTTCTCATATGGGCTGGGGTAGCTTTAATTAACTATTCACATGTACTTCAGTTCACAGGAGGTATGGGAGATTCAAATTATTAAGGAAAAGGAGTGCACTGCATAAAACATATAAAAATATATCCTATTATGATTATAGGGTGTTCACAGTAAAATAAAATATTCAGCTTGAGCTAGCTTCCTTCTTTAGGCAACACAAAATGAAAGACTTAAATTATAATGAATTTGTCTAACACTTCACTCTTTCCTGTTATCAAGGTAATTAAGCTATTGTACTTCCATTTTGCTTATGCTTTTCAAATGACTCGGGTCCCTTCTACACTGCTATATACAGTGGGGAGAAAGTATTTAGTCAGATACCAATTGTACAAGTTCTCCCACTTTAAAAGATGAGAGAGGCCTGTAATTGACATCATATGTAGACCTCAACTATGAGAGACAACATGAGAAAACACATCCAGAAAATCACATTATCTGATTTTTAACAAATTTATTTGCAAATTATGGTGGAAAATAAGTATTTGGTTAGCTACAAACAAGCAAGATTTCTGGGTCTCACAGACTTGTAACTTCTTTTTGAAGAGGCTCCTCTGTCCTCCACTCATTACCTGTAGTAATGGCACCTATTTGAACTTGTTATCAGTATAAAAGACACCTGTCCACAACCTCAAGCAGTCACACTCCAAACTCCAGTATGGTGAAGGCCAAAGAGCTGTCGAAGGACACCAGAAACAAAATTATCGTCCTGCACCAGACTGGGAAGACTGAATCTGCAATAGGCAAGCAGCTTGGTGTGAAGAAATCAACTGTGGGAGCAATAATTAGAAAATGGAAGAGATACAAGACCACTGATAATCTCCCTCAATCTGGGGCTCCACGCAAGATCTCACCCTGTGGGGTCAAAATGATCACAAGAGCGGTGAGCAAAAATCCCAGAACCACATGGGAGAATCTAGTGAATGACCTGCAGAGAGCTGGGACCAACGTAACAAAGACTACCATCAGTAACACACTACGCCACCAGGGACTCAGATCCTGCAGTGCCTGATGTGTCCCCCTGCTTGAGTCAGTACATGTCCGGGGCCAGCTGAAGTTTGCTAGGGACATTTGGATGATCCAGAAGAGTATTGGGAGAATGTCATATGGTCAGATGAAACCAAAGTAGAACTGTTTGGCAGAAACACAACGTGTTGTGTTTAGAGGAGAGAAAATGCTGAGTTGCATCCAAAGAACACCATACCTTCTGTAAAGCATGGAGGTGGCAACATCATACTTTAGGGCTGTTTCTCTGTAAAGGGACCAGGGCGACTGATTTGTATACATGAAAGAATGAATGTGGCCATGTATCGTGAGATTTTTAGTGCAAACCTCCTTCCATCAGCAAGGGCACTGAAGATGAAACGTGGCTGGGTCTTTTCAGCATGACAATGATTCAAGCACACCGCCAGGGCAACAAAGGAGTGGCTTCGTAAGAAGCATTTCATGGTCTTGGAGAGGCCTAACACTCCAGAAACAGCCAGAGGGTGAGAACTTTACCTTGGAACTCCTGCCTGGGGCCAGCCTTTCCAAACATACTGGGTGTGGCCCTGTAGAGAAGTGTTCATTATACTGTGTTTCAAACTGTGTTTAGGCTTTACATTGTGGCCAGGGCCTAGCTGAGAGAGAGATAGGTTGCCATGGTGACAAGCCAGAGGAGGTGGGCGGAGCTTAGGTAAAAAAGGTTTGAAAGCGACAGTTTATTTTCAGTCAGGCGGATGAGACCCTGAGGAGAGTAGCAGAGTCAAGGAGGCTCTGTGGAGTAGTGTAAATTCAGTTAGTTCTTAGGTTTTGTGAATATTTTTCCAGCTAGGAAGCTGAAGGTGGAAACTCGTTAGATTGCTTGAGTAGAAAAGAATCTAACAAGAAAGGGTTTCAGGGATCCCAGTGGTGAAAATCTGGAGATCGTTGGTTTGATCCGGTGAAGGACAAACAGTTGTAAATATTCACAATAGGGAACACTGAAATAATAAAGTACCTCACTGTAGAAAGAGTTAAAGGATTGTAACATCGGAAGACTTAATGTAACTCAACCAAGCCATTTTGTATCCATCAAGCTTGTGCCAAGTTCAACAGTTTAATTTTGCAACAATTTACGCTCTGATAACAATAAACCTGTTCTTTTTGTGTTTTAAACTTGCCTCCTTCACTGATTTTCCACGTTTGAAGCATTCCACACTACCCAAGGTGCCTCACAACACAGATAAGGATAACCAGAGATCATTTTTACCAATATCTCTTATATTATGGTGGCAATTTAAGCTAGAAGTCTCAAATCTTTATTACATCTGTGTGGTGATCCTATTTATTTGGGATTTTACACCATTATTTCATTTTGGAGACTTCCTCACATATTTTGGTGGCAGCAAGTGAACGGTTTTAAATTTTTAGTAACAAGCGGTGGGAGTCACGGCTTCGCAGGCCCCCACAGCTGTGCCATCTCACCTGACACCAGCAGCAGATAAAACAGCCAGCACTGGACCCAGAGCCTGCTTTGCAATCCAACTATGTTAAGCCAATCGATAAGATCTTGGCACTATAGGACTTTTACCAACATGGATAGAGACACCTCACCATCACGAGAAAAAACACCCCCCATCTGCCTCCCCAAGGACCTCATACCATAGTTTATACCCCCCATGAAGAGCTGGGTTGCATTCCTGTGTTTAAACAGTATTCAGAGGACTCCTTAATTGTGAGGATCTGGGAATCTCTGGGAGAGCATAAAGAATGGGGGCGGATATTATGGGGAGGCGGGTGTGGGAGGGGGATGGTAACTAGACCCCTATAGGTCATTTTTAACTTGTGGAATTGTACAATATAATAATTTTCTTTGGCCAGCACCTTAATCACTCTGACTTGGACACCACCTCAGCCCTGTTGACTTGTAAATGCCTTTTTTACTTTTAATGTTTTGAGTGTTTGTTATCATTAGCTCTAGTAGTAAACATGTTCTAAATGTTTGATTTATATATTTAAATATCTAAGTTTGTTATTTTTTAATTGTTCTATAAGTACACCTGATGTTGTTTATTTTATTGTTTATGATTTGATTTGTTTGTTATGTTATGCCAGCATTGAATGTTTGGCAATTTTCTGTCGTAAACCGCCCTGAGTCCCCTCGGAGAGATAGGGCGGTATAGAAATAAAGTTTATATATATTTATATAACTAGTCTCCAAATCTCAACCCTATAGAAACCTTTGGAGGGAGTTGGAAGTCTGTGTTGCCCAGCGACAGTCCCAAAACATCACTGCTCCTGAGGAGACCTGTATGGAGGAATGGGCCAACATACTAGCAACAGTGTGTGCCAACCTTGTGAGGACTTCCAGAAAACGTTTGACCTCTGTCATTGTCAATAAAGGATATATAACAAAGTATTGAGATGAACTTTTGTTATTGACCAAATACTTATTTTCCATCATAATTTGCAAATAAATTAGTTAAAAATCAGACAATGTGATTTTCTGGATGTGTTTTCTCACTTTGTCTCTTATAGTTGAGGTCTACCTATGATGTCAATTACAGGCCTCTCATCTTTTTAAGTGGGAGAACTTGTACAATTGGCATCTGACTAAACACTTTTTCCCCAATGTAAAATCTAGATTATCTGCTTTGAACTTTGCAGTGTAGGCTCAAATAATCCAGTTCAAAGCAGATTATTTATTTATTTATTTATTTTATTTACTTTGCTTATATACCGCTGTATCTCAAGCCCGAAGGCGACTCACAGCGGTTCACAAACAGTAGAAACAGTAGAAACAGCAGTGGTTCCATACAACATATAACAATTGACTTAACACATTATCCATAAATTACCAATAAGCAATTACAATGCACAATTATTACAAAAAACAACCGTACCCAATCTTCTCATCATCCAAGCGTAGTCCAGATTCGTCGTCCATTGAATGTGGATTATATGCTTTAATAATCTGGATTATATGGCAGTGTAGAAGAGGCCCTTAAAGCTTGAGTAGTGTGATTCACAACAAAAATAAAGAACAAGTTTAGAAAAAAATATATGAATGATTTCTTTTTGTATTGATAAAGAGATAGCTGAATGTAAAGTACTTCTTCCTTATCTATAAGACTTCATTCCCCTGGCTGTAATAATAAGAGAAATTAAATTATGCTTTCAGGCGTGCTTGATCAGGGCTGGCAAGCAGATTCATCCACTCGCATGGTTATGCCTAAAAAGCCAGGTAGGTGGAGCTCTTGTTCTATGAGGATTTTTAGTTTTGTGGAAAAAAATGGGAGGGGGCGGGACATTTTTGATCAACATTGCCTTCAGTGAAAAATGTTTGAAACATAATTAGAAATTGCACACAACTCCTTGAGTCAAAGTTTTAAAACAGCAGGGAAGCTTATGAAGCATGAAGTCAGAATCATGAATTGGCCCTCTTCTCATATGGGCCCAAGCATTTTTAATTAAGTAGACATTTTAGTATGTGAAGCTCTTAGATAGAGTTGAACACAATGTGCCTTAAACCTTTTTCTGAATTCTTTGCAGAGGATTCAGCCAAACAGGTTTTCCAGTGACCTTAACTGACATATCAGTATCAGAAAATAGGGTTGCCTAGCATAAAACTTGATCTTTCTTTCATTTTGTGCTTGCTGTATTAATGGAGCAAAGCACAAGAACACGTGGGCTGTTGTGTGCTTTATTTATTGGTTTAAAATGATGTGATCCAAATTAAATAAAATATCTCTAGTGCATGTTGGCTGTTCACTTTTTATGTTAGTGCCTTCCCTTTGGCATACCAGAATATCTCCTGCAGATTTTCCTTTTAAAAACAACAAAAAAGAGCAGCATGATTTGCTGCGGTGAACTCCCTATAAAGGAACTTGGAACCAATTTGGAGGGCATAAACACACAATTGTACTATAGCAAATAGTTGATTTTCAGCTGAGATGGGTTAATCGGGACAGACTGACACTCTTGGAAATATGGGGAAATGCTTGTGTGTGGGCACATACCAATACACCTTAAAAATAGGTTATCACCACCAATTCTCTTCATGTGTAGCAATGCTGAAATATTGCTTCCTGTGAAATGAGATTTCCCTCACCTCCAAGGTTTTTCATCTTAAAACAAGCTTCCTTTAAAATGACTTCAAAGGTGGCTGTTTTAAGGTATGAGCAACAATTTTTTAATTTTTTAAACATCTCATTTAGTCCAAACAATATTGATGTGATGCACTCTGTGGAAAATTATTTTGCAATGATCAAAAAGGAAATGAATTTATTGTGAAGCTTGTAATTCAAGTATAAAAAGATAGAGTGGTCAAGCACCAACACTTGAAAGTGGAATGTTTTTTCTTCTTGGACTCTGGGAATTCACACATGGAGTGTGTGCACCTGCGCAGGCTCCAACGGAAAACTTTCAAAGTTTAAAACCAAAGTTTTGGCGGTAACCCCGCCCAGTCACTTCTCCAGGGCATAAAAGGCGTCCTGGCCGCATGTTCCGCAGTTCCTGTTTTTCCTCACAAAGCTTGCTTTGGAAACTTCTCTGCGATGTCTACGACTTGATTTAAGCGGTGTACTTAGTGCTCCGCTAAATTTCCAGACTCTGACAAGCATGTTAAGTGCTTTCTTTGCCTGGGCGAAGCCCATGTTATTTCTTCCTGTCGACATTGCCAGTCCCTTAAGTGCTTTCTTTGCCTGGGCAAAGCCCACGTTATTTCTTCCTGTCGACATTGCCAGTCCCTGATGGCCCAGACTCGGAAGAACAGGGCTACCCAGCTGAAATATTTTCTCTACGAGCGAATTCTCGATCCTTCAGCTTCTCAACCTTTGACTTCAGCTCCTTTGATCTCCAGCCCTCAACCTCGACTGCTGGTCTCCTCGGCAGCTTCAAAATCATTGAGACCAACTCGACAGACCAAGCTGCCTTGACTATGGTAACGGTTCTGGCAAGACCTTCGACCTGGAGCTCGATAGCTTCCGTTTGTTCCATGAGGTCAAACGTGGCGCCGCCGCCATCTTCTTCATCAGTGAAGATTGCTTTTAAGAGGACGCATGAGGAGACTCGTCGATCTCAGTCGATTTCAACGTCACCATCGATACCACCGACCCTGGGTAAATCCCTGGAACCACCGGGTAATACCCAGCCGCCGGCTAAAAAAAGGGCTCCTCCATACTCTTCTTCTTCTTCCTCCTCGTCCTCCAAAAAGATGGTGCCAACCTCCTCGGCCTCCTCATCTGGCCAGTCTTCTCCGCTTCCAATAGCTCAACCTGCCAGGCCTTCTCAAGACTCCTCCATCCAGGCCCCCTCAGACGGAGAGCTCCAAGATTTGCCAGCCCGGTCGGAGTAAATGGTGGTGCAGGTTCTTCGGCAGCAACCTCTCCCACCACAGTCTTCTGCCAGACAATAATTCTTTCCACTGACCTCGACACCGGAAAGGGGCAGTCAGACCTCTTGACTGCCAAAAATGGCTCAAGCCTTGGCTTCCAAACAGGCCCCACTGCCTGCCTCTCCAGAACAGGCTCCTAGGCCTCCACCGCCTCCACTGCCAGTCCCTTCCTCTTCATCTTCTCATCAATCAGAGGATGGAGATAGCCGGTATTGCACCACCTGACATCCGCCGGGAAGTAGCAGCCAATAGTGAAAGGACCAAGGCAGTGACATCTCCAGCCTGTTCCTTGTTTGGGTATCAGCCAGCACGTCAATGACTTAAATCAAGAAATAGTTTTCTAAGATCTACAGAGACACTCGCTGGAACACTCCAGCAAGCGAGAGTCCAAAAGTGGCAGGCTCAAACCCAGAACCTCAATCAGTGGCTGATACCAAATGAGAGACTCCCCCCTGGGCACACAGAAAACTGGGCGACTTGGAAGGCGCTGAACAGACTGCCTCTGGCACCACGAGATGCAGAGCCAATCTTAAGAAATGGGGCTACAAAGTGGAATCCACGACATGCGAGTGTGGAGAAGAGCAAACTACAGACCACCTGCTGCAATGCAACCTGAGCCCTGCTACATGCACAATGGAGGACCTCCTTGCGGCAACACCAGAGGCACTCCAAGTGACCAGCTACTGGTCAAAGGACATTTAATCAACTACCAAGCTTGCAAATTCTGTGTTTTGTCTGTCTGTTTGTTTGTTTTTGTTAAAAATGTAATACAAATGTCTGGTTTCTGATGACACGATAAATAGAGGATGGAGATCATGACAAAGACATTGCCGAATCCATCCACTCGGGTTCCGTCCTATCATTGGGTCTGGACCGCTCTCCGACCCATGATGCCTGCGAGGTCGACCTTCAGTCCCCTACGGACAATGTCAGGCCTTTGCTAACTAGATGGTCCGAATGGCTGATACCTTAGGTCTAGAGATTAAACACACCTCCAAAGTTGTCACTGATCCCGTCTTTAAGAGGATACAGTCAGAGGCTCCCCCAGCTCCTCTTCTACCGTTCCTCCCTTATCTTCTCAACGTCATCCAAGTGTCCTGGAAGACTTCCTCTTAAAAACCTCCAACTTCAAAACGCATCAAAGCTTGGTATCGTACTGACGATGAAGGACTCGAGTGGCTTAAGCACCACCCTGACTCCGTGTTGGTAAAGTCTGCACAATCCTCCGGTAGATAGTTCAAAACTATCTACCGGAGGAGCACAATCCTCCATGTGTAGATACACATGTGCACAATCCTCCTTCGTGTAGATAATCCACGAAGAAAAAGGACAGGTTACTCACCTGTAACCATGTTCCCTTGAGCGGTACTCTGTGAATCCACACAAACCCGCCCTGCCTCCCCTCAAGCAAACCTCCTTTCTCGCTGCCTTTGTGGCATAGGAACTGTGGAATGTGCGGCCAGGGCACCTTTTATGCACTGGAGAGGGGACTGGGAGGGGTTATCACCAAAACTTTGGTTTTAAACTTTGGAAGTTTTCTGTTGGAGCCTGCGCAGGCGCAGACACTACATATGTGTGGATTCAACAGAGTATCACTCAAAGAAACATGGTTACAAGTGAGTAACTTGTCCTTATCCATACCATTGCACAGTATCTAACTTGATATGCTTAAACACTGGCTCTGTACAATTCTTAATGAATGACCTGATACTTGGTATTTTCTTGGATTTTTAGAGTACTTCAATTTGATTTTCTTAAATTATTGTGGCTATTACTGTTAAATTATTGTTTTATTAAGTAATATTATACTGTTATAATTATTATTACTCCAGTCATACATACTGACTGTTCGATGACAGGTAAATAATTCTCCAAATGTGTAGGCAATGTTTTGTCAGGCATTCTTTTCTAGCCTTATCTAAACATAGAACTTGTAATGTTAGGAAGCAAAATTTGGGTGACAGTGATTGCAGATTTTTTTTCATAAAATTAGATGTTAATATCTAGAATTATATTATTAAGGCTGATGTTCCATGAAAACATAAAACATTTTGTGTATATATGTTTTAGGTCCCCAAGAGCCTTCATTTAACAGATTTCACCCATTATCAGGTATGTGTTTATATTTGTGTGCTGTCTACAGATACTCCACATTGATGGTGGAGACTTAATTCAAATTTGTCTTTAGACAAGGACAGATACAACAACTTGGAAGTGGATCCTTCTAGAATGCAAAGTCTGCATTCTCAATTGGATGTCTCCTGGGTTGCAAAATAATACAAATACAGTTAGCCCCCCATATCTATGGATTTTGTATCAATAGATTAAACCATCAGTGGCTTTGAAAAAAAAATATATTTTTAAAGATTTCAAAAAGCACACTTAGATTTTCTTGCTTTATAGAATGATGCCATTCTACTACTCCGTTGTACATAATGGGATATGACTATCCATATTTTTGTGAACCAGACTTCAACAGATATTAAGTGCTACTTGTAGCTGCTACCTTCTCTTGTGTATGTTTTTAAATTTCTTGCAGAATGCCACGTGGCATCTACTATAAGAAATGCGAGTATTTATTTATTTATTTATTAATCAATTTTATATACTGCCACTCCCTGAAGGCTCGGAGCAGTTTACAATAAACACATGTAATACATTACATATAAGATCATGAAAAACTTCGATCAGCAAAATTCAAATGCCAGCCTAAATAAATAAGTTTTACAAGCTCTACGAAAAGAAGGTAAATCTTGGAGAGCTCGTGTTCCTGCTGGCAAGGCACTCTACAGATAGGGAGCCACCACCATAAAAGCTCTATGCCTATGAAGACATCAGGTGAAAGATCCTAAAATTGGGAACTTCAATGAGATTCTGATCGTCTGAATGAAGTGATCTTGGGGATTGGTAGGGAGTGAGGCGGTCCCTCAGGTACTCCGGCCCCAGGCCATATAAGGCCTTAAAGGTAAGAATCAGCACTTTGAAGGTAATCCGGTGCTCAATTGGACTTTTAGGGCCCTATTCTAGCATCACTTTTTACCTGCATTGACAGGTATGGTCAAATTCCTATGGATGGAGGCTTGCAATTATAGTCCTCATTTACAAAAAGAAAGGAAAAGGGGATGACTCAGCTAACTATAGACCAATCAGCCTATTTAACATCATCAGCAAAGTATATGCCAGACACCTAAAAATGGAAACTACAGAATTGGATAGAACAAGAAAGTATATCAGCTGACAAACACGCTAGATTTAGGGAAGTCTAATCTACCATAGATCAATGCCTAGTGCTCTAATATCTGATATTCCACCAGTAGCAAAACATCACCATGACCCTTATAAACTTTAAGGCAGCCTTTGACTTCATCTCTAAGACAATGCTATGAGAAAAATTAGAAGCCACCTCAATCAATAGACAGCTACTTCATCTTATCTGTCAACTCCATGAAGGGACGTCTCTCAAAATAAGATGCAACCCTCAAGGCCACCTCATTAATGCTGTTAGAAGGGAGAAAGGTGTTAAGCAAGGCCCATTATTATTTAATCTTTACATCAATTCCATGGTGGACCACCTTCTTAACATGGACTTTCACCCACCAAAACTTGTGGGTAGACATACCTCCACCCTTCATTTTTTGCTGGTGATGCTGCTCAACTTTCAAGAAGACAAGTTGGACTTAAAAGAACATTGAGAACTCTGGCACAATACTAACCAGTTACAACTTAACTAACAAAAAACTAAAATCATGGTGTTTGCCAAAAGACCCAAGTTTCACCTCTGGAAAATAGATGGAAATAAAATCGAGTAGGTCTCATGCTTCAAATATCTGGAGATAGTCCTCCATTCCTCCAACAGCAGAAAAGCCCATTAAGTTCATGTGGCTTTACACTAATGCACAGAGCATGGGAAATAAATAAGACGAACTCCAACTTTTAGCACAACACCACAAGTATGATGTCATAGGCATCACTGAAACCTGGTGGGATGACTCCTTTTGCTGGAATGTCAACATCGAGGGCTATACACTTTTTCACAGAAACTGAACAAAGGGGAGGCAAAGTAGCCTTATATGTCAAAATCTGTTATGCTGCAGCAGAGATGCAAGACAGCAATCCAGGAAACCAGTTTGAAAGCATCTGGATAAGAATCAAGGGAACTGGGACTCAAAAAGTTCTCATCATAGGCATCTACTACAGACCTTCAAGCCAGGATGAAGAACTTGATAAAGTCTTTTGCCAACAACTCACCAAACAGGCACAAAGAAGAGATATAGTAGTCATGGGCGATTTGAACTATCCCCATATTTGCTGGAAAACAAACTGAGCTAAGAGTACAAAGTCCAACAAATTCCTCGCTTGCCTTGCATGGTCCAGAAGGTAGAGGAGGCAACAAGGGGGTCGGCTACTCTCGATTTCATCCTAACAAATGTGGAGGAACTGATTGATGCAGTTGAAGTGGTCATATCCTTAGGGGCAAGTGACCATGAGCTCCTGCAGTTTGAGGTACAAGGGAAACTAAGACTAGTCAAACCCGCATTTTGGACTTTAGGAGAGCTGACTTCTGAAAAATGAAGGAAATGGCTGAGCAGCATTCCGTGGACACATGCTAAAAGACAAGGGAGTTACTGATGGATGGGAGATTTTCAAGAATTAAATACTCAAAACGCAATTGCAGACAGTGCCAACAAAGAGAAAAAATAGGACAAGTGCAAAGAAGCCAGAATGGATGTCCAAATAACTTCTAATTGTGCTAAGATTCAAAAGAGACATGCACAAGAAGTGGAAAAGGGGAGAAATTAACAAAGATTAATTCCAACAAATAGCCAACTCCTGTATCAAAAAGGTTTGCACAATACGAGCTCAGACTTGCCAGGGACATTAAAAAACAATAAAAGGGCTTCTTTTCTTAATTCAGCAGAACAAGGAAGAACAAGGAGGTGATAGGGCCTCTTCGAGGAGAGGGTCAATGCTGACAGGGGATAGGGAAAAGGCAGAACTACTTAATGCTTCCTTTGCCTCGGTCTTCTCACAAAACATGAGACAACAATGTGATGCGGTGGCAAAAAAAAGCCAGTGGGAGTTTGGCCTCCATCAATAGGAGTATAGTGTGTAGATCCAGGGAAGTCATGCTACCCCTCTATTCCGCCTTGGTTTAGACCACGCCTGGAATATTGTGTCCAATTCTGGGCACCACAATTGAAGAGAGATATTGACAAGCTGGAATGTGTCCAGAGGAGGGCGACTAAAATGATCAAGGGTCTGGAGAACAAGCCCTATGAGGAGCGGCTTAAAGAGCTGGGCATGTTTAGCCTGAAGAAGAGAAGGCTGAGAGGAGACATGATAGCCATGTATACATATGTGAGAGGAAGTCATAGGGAGGAGGGAGCAAGCTTGTTTTCTGCTGCCCTGGAGACTAGGACGTGGAACAATGGCTTCAAACTACAAGAAAGGAGATTCCATCTGAACATTAGGAAGAACTTCCTGACTGTGAGAGCCATTCAGCAGTGGAACTCTCTGCTCTGGAGTGTGGTGGAGGCTCCTTTTGAAGCTTTTAAACAGAGGCTGGATGGCTATCTGTTGGAGGTGCTTTGAATGTAATTTTCCTGCTTCTTGGCGGAAGGTTGGACTGGATGGCCTATGAGGTCTTTTCAAACTTTATGATTCTATGATTCTAAGATTGCACAAGGGAACTCATCAGCTGTACTAAAATATCTCAAATCAAGAGGGGTACACTCCATACCCGCAGCTCTCAAACTATTTGATGCCAAGCTAGTTGCACAACTGTCCAGTTAGACCACTTTCTTGACTTTACCCCATTGAGGAGTGTATAATCCAAATTCTTAAGATCGGCCTTCCAGGTACCAAGGTGGGTCTCCAATGTCACCCTGTGTCTGGAGACTGGCTTCCTGATTATTGAAGCCAGGGTATAGGTGGTTATACTGAACTATTGGCTCTCTCCCCTGGCCTTCCACCACTTTACTGTGTTGGATGACTTTCAGTCCAGATGGAAAAAGGCTGTTTATTTATTTATTTACTTACTTACTTACTTACAACATTTATATGCTGCCCTTCTCAGGGGACTCAGAGCGGCTTACAATTAGAAAGTAAATACAATGTATTATTATTATCATAGCACAATATTAATATTATATATTACATTGTACTATAACATTATACTGTAATATTATTAGTAATATTACATTTAATATAAAATATATAATTATAATATCATTTTATTAGTAGTAGTAGTATATTGTATTACATTATAATATTATCAATATTATATGTATATATTATATTATATTATATTATATTATATTATATTATAAACACAGTGCAGGAGACAAGATGGAACTGCCTTCATGGCCCCTCTCTTCATTCTGATCTCAGAGCAGTTGGTGCGGGGGGGGGGCGGGCTCCCAATTGATGACTCTGGAGGCAAGACGGAACTGCCTTCATTGCCCCTCTCTTCATTCTGATCTTAGAGCAGCCAAAATTTCATCCCTGGGCTTCCCTCTAGGACGCCTAACCAGTATGGGCTACGACCAAACAAAATCTCTGATTAAACAACAAATAACAGACATCAAGTGCCAATCAGACTTAGCCAGTGCCCCGTCCTTTATCACCAATGGAGTCATTAGGCTTTGTACCTCCCCTATGAAATATCTAACCATGCTGGAGGTTTCCAGCCATAGGAGGGCCTTCACTCTGGCACTCTGCCATGCACTCCCATATTGGAAGGCAGTTACCGGAAGACTCTGAGAGACTCTGCCCTTGTGACTCAGGACACATAGAGACAACAGAACATGTCTATAGAGATATTCGATTCTGTCATGGCTATACAAACACCCAGGATGCTCTGGACGATTTTACCCTAGTGGTTTCAGACACTAACTCGATTATAACATAATGTCGCCAGATTCTGCACGGCAGCGATTAAAATCCGGCAGTTAATGACTGATAACACAAACTAGTACAAGGTAGGACTTCATACTAGCAGAAAATTGAGATTACAGACTTTTAATTATAGTATGAATGTTGCTCCCTCCTCTGTTTGACTGGACTTCCCTTCTCTGTCCCAAATGAGCACCCCTCTTCTCTTCCCTTCAGTTTCCCTTCCATTTAATTCCATAAAATGTGTTAGGCTTTAATATAATCCTTTATATGGCTTTTAGCTTAGATTCTTAAGTAAATTATCTTAATGTCCTAACCATGATACACTTTTTAAAAAGTTTTAACTCTCTTGACCCTTGGCTCTGATATGCTTGTGCAGGGCTCTTCTCTTGAACTAGTCATTGACCATAATAAAATGAACTAAAAAAACTATGTTTCTTCATTTTCAGAACCTGCTCCAGTACCACCAATCCCTAATGAACAGCAGTTGGCACGATTAACTGACTATGTGGCTTTCCTTGAGAATTGATGACTCCATTCACTCTTTCATGAGAGCTGTGTTGTCCTAGACCCCTTTGAGATTATTTTTGTTCTATTAAATGTTGCAGTGTATGCACTATTATAGAATATGCTGGTAAAACATCATTTTTTATTTCATCTATGTCTATGTTTTGCTGGAGGAAGGTTTTGGTTCACTTTAACTCTAATAATTGTCAACTGGGTGCAGAGCAGCTTTAGATTTTCAGTTCTTGCTCTTTATTGTGAAGAAAGCAGCAGTCTATTAGAAATGTTGAGAAGTCTTGGTGATTGCAGTTAATAGATAAGAAATCAAATACTGAAGGAGTATAAAAGAAACTTGTTTGGGCAAAAAAAACCCCGAAGTTGTCCTTTTCCCAAGAATGATCTTTCCATAGGTACTGGAATCTGACTTCTGTGTAGTATACTGCAGCTTTTAATTACCTCCTTAAAGCAAAATATGTCATCCTTTGTTCAACATTACGTGTTCTTTCAAATATAATATTTGAGCACCAAATAGGTCTTCTGCAGAGCCACAGCTATCAAAGAATACCTGTGAGAAGAGAAGGAAATGTGGAGGTTAGAAAGCTTCATGGTGAATGGCAACAGTATGATATCTGCATCAGGGTTTTAAGTATGTAAGCTTTTAAATAGTGTCAACTGTTACTTCTTTAAAACAGGTGTCTCTTTCCCTTCTTTTGGTCAACAGTTTTTCATTGCCTGTCCTTCTGGCATTTGGAAGATGTTTATTGTCATTGGAAAATCAGACCTATGGTACAAATGTCTGCAAGTGTAATGCAACTTTGAGTCTGATAGAATATTGCTGGATTTGGATTGCTGTGACCTTCATTGTGCATTGTGACCTTCATTTTTAATGTTGAAAGAAAAAAAAAAGCTTACCATTCTCCTGCATTTAAATGTCCGTCATTCTTTTTCTCTCCCCCTTTTTCTGTCAATTGTTAAATGGCTCACTTCTCAGAAATAGTTGCTGTTTGCTTCTATAGTGACACCTTTCTCTTATTTACTACTATATCCATCTGTCGATGTTTCAGGTGCCCTTGGGTGCAAAAAGGCACTGATAAGTATATATTTTTTCAAGAGCCTCTTCCTGAGCAAAATCGCTGATCTCAATCCATTATTTATTTGAAAAGAAATTTAAGCCTCAGCTCTGTAAGTATTTGTAAGCTTAATATTGGTAATATTAAAACATGTTTACACCACTCCAGTTTCTTACATCATTCAACTTCTTGTTTTCTTTTTCAGGTTTGTTTAGCGTTAATATTAACACAGCACATAGACTGGTATCATGTCTAGCAGTAAAAATCCTATAGGATCTATATTTAGTACAGTATGCAAATTAAAAAGTTTCTTTCCAAAGGAATTGTCGTAACAATGAGATCTTTATGGACTTTCTGTGCATGCGTCGGAGAGACTAGATGTCTGACAAACCCTCTCCCCAGACCTTAACTTTTTTAGCCCAACTGAAGGTAAAGAGAACAAAGTAAAAGCCATCTACTTAATTGGGCAATAAAGGTCAGCTGAAACTCTGAGAGACTGGAGGAGAAATTATTTATAACTCCAGAAAGAAAAGAAGAGATCTCTGGTGACCGGTTGCTGAAGAGAAATAAAAAGATGGTGCTCAGACTAAAAGAATTGGGACAATTCATCTGAGAAATTGAGAAAAATATTAGATCTCACATCAGACATCTCCAAAACCAGATGGAAGAGGTGGAGGAGGTATGTTCAGTAAAAAAACTGCACAGTCAGCTCAGAAAAATGTCTGATTGAAGCAAAGAGATCAGTCAACTTGCGAAGCAGTTAACTCAGCTGGGTGATAAGACAGTGTAGGGGGAATATAAAGCTGGCTGGAATTCCCAAGGAGATTCAGGTGACAGGTAAAGAACTGGATAAACTTTTGGCAAGTTGGTAGATGAAAACAAAATAATATTACAATATAATGGTATAGTACAATATAGTAATGTTTGATACTGATATTGTACTATGCTAATAATATAATGTTTGTATATATATCTTGTAAGCTGCTCTGAGTCCCCTTCGGGGTGAGAAGAGCAGCATATAAATGTCGAAATAAATAAAATAACCAGGCAATAGATCAAACCTACAGAGTGTCCACTAACTACGCGAGGAAAAACAAGGATAGCCGGGGGCCCCTGGTGGTGCAGTGGGTTAAAGCAGTGAGCTGCTGAGCTTGTTGATCGAAAGGTCGCAGGTTCGATTCAGGGAGTGGCGTGAGCTTCCGCTGTCAGCCCTAGCTTCTGCCAACCTAGCAGTTCGAAAACATGCAAATGTGAGTAGATCAATAGGTACCGCTCCGGCGGGAAGGTAACGGCGCTCCATGCAGTCATGCCAGCCACATGACCTTGGAGGTGTCTACGGACAACGCTGGCTTTTCGGCTTAGAAATGGAGATGAGCACCACACCCCAGAGTCAGACATGACTGGACTTAATGTCAGGGGACTACCTTTACCTTTACCTAGAGACGTTATCGTCAAATTCAACAGAAAGCCTATGAGACGAAATCCTCAAAAAGAACAGCGAGAAACCGTTCCTATACAAGGAAAACAAAGTGGCCAAAGTGACCACCCTGAACAGAAGAAGAAAATGCTTCTTTCTAATGGAAGAACTAAAGAGATTACAAATCAGATTCAGGTGGGAGAAATTTGAAGACATAATGGTCACCTATAAAGATCAAAGATATTGGCTCACCTCTGAAGAAAAAGCAAGGGAATTCTATAAGCAAATGAAAAAAGACCAAGAACAAAAGTCACCAGAACAACCAAGAAAGACAGGACATAATAAAAAGCGCTGCTTCTCGTCCCCAGAATACGAATACCAAAGGGCTACTACGATCTCAGTATCTGCACAGTGGATAAACCTGAAGAAGACGAAATTTTACCAGCACATAAAATGTTTAATAAAGATGATGATGATGACGAGTGATATGCAAATTGAAATAAAATGTTTTTCCAACAATGTCAATGGCTTTGACTAAAAGGAAAAAGCTTTTTAACCATCTCAAAAATGCCAATTTGGACTGTGTGGCCTTACAAGAAACCCACATAAAACAAAAACATTAGACATCTAACCAATAAAAATCTAGGAAAAGATTTCCACTCACTAGCATCGGGAAAAAAGAGGGGTAAGCATATATGTTAAGGAAAAGATCCCAGCTGAACTAGTGTTTAGAGACCAGGAAGGGAGAATGGTGGGGGTACTTCTAAAAAACGGGATGGCAAACGACCCTAATATGTAATATATATGCCCCTAACGGGACCAAAACAAAATTTGCGATAGCCCTTAAGAAATTGATAGAAGAACAAACCTTCGACAACTTGATAATAAACCCACAAGAACCTAGTGATTCCAGCCATGAAAGCCTTCGACAATAACTTGATAATACTTGGTGACTTTAATGGAATTGTAGATAGTAAAATAGAGTCAACTTCAGTTAGGAAAAACAGAAAGAACGAGGCATTTAGCATCCTTCCAAGCACCTTTCTAGGCCTGAAAAAAGAATTCGACCTTCAGGACGCGTGGCGAATACATAACCAACAAGAAAAAGACTACACCTTCTTTTCGAACAGACATCGAAGCTGGTCAAGAATCGACATGGTGTGGATCTCAAAATCACTAACTCCAAAAATCACTCAAATAAAAATTCTGGCCAGAGACCTGTCAGATTATTGCCCCATTGATAAATCATAAGAATATCACGAGGAGATGGAGACTTATAAACCTTTATTTATACCCCGCTAACATCTCCCGAAGGACTCGATGCGGCTTACAAGAGGCCCAACACATCAATAAAACAATAGCATAACAAATACAACAATAAATAAACTCATAAAACAAGCAATAAACATTAACACAATCGTAATAAACATTAGACAGTAACACCACAACGCATTTAAAACTAAGGCCGGGCCAAATGTAATGATTAAAATTTTAAAAAATGCTGGACATGACAGGTGAAATGGGTAGGTTTTTGGAGATAGGTGCAGTGTGCAGACAATCTTAAACCTCTAGTAAAGTGCATTTGGGACATGATGCTTGGAGTCCTAAGACCCTTGTGAAACAATTGCTTTCATTTTACATTAACACTTTAGGTTCTAAAGATGAGCATGTTGGTGGTGATTTCCTGATTTGTTCTATAGCTATATTAGAGAGAGACAGTCATTGCCACTTTGTAAGATAATGGTTGTTCTTGAAAGGTTTTTTCCCCTTTGGATGGTTCTATGTTGTACAGAAAACTTGCTATGTACATTACAGTTATGTGTGGTTGGAACTGTAGGCTTATGGGAACATAAAGGATCTAGACCAATGTTTCTCAACCTCTGGTATACCAGTGGTGTTGGATTTCATCTCCCAGAATGCCTCATCATTACTGCTTTCTGTTAATGAAAACTGAAAACAGGAAGTTTCTGTTTAAGGACACTCCAAAACACTTCATTTGAACCAGGGATCATCTTGGAAAGGGCTACTACTTTTTTCATATCTTTTGTGTGCCATAGCTGGTATGTTAGCTACGTAATTTTATCTCTAGTATGTTAGCTACGTAATTTTATAATGTGCTTAAAACCTTAAATTATAGCTTTCCTGCATTGTGCCATGTGAACCATGTTGCCAATTATTTTTAACAGTTGCATTCAGGGAAAGCTCTGCAGAATTCTATGGTACTAAATGGGTTATAAGCAAAAACAAAAATGGCCAGACTATAGGCCCCCAGCTATGATTATTTACCTTTGGAAAACAAATTGCTTATTACTGCTTTAGACAAAAAACTTTTGGCGGCATTTCATACCTTCCCCTTAGAATTTGTTTACTGCAATCATTGAAAGAGCAAACAATGTTAGAGACTGTTAGAAGAACAGGAACTATAATCACTGGATATATAACTTATGGTAGCCCTATATTTTTGAAAACTGGACACACAGCCATAAACAGGATATTATTGAACTGGAAAGTTACTGGGAGAGAAACAAACAAAAGTCATTTGCTGTTCATTAAAATCTTGCTGAAATTTTTTTTTAAAAATGATCCACCATTCTGAAAGTCCCTTCCAAAGTCTTCAGCATGACCACTGGGATTTCCATACTTCATCAACATTTATTCTGAGATTTCTTGAAGAGATATGTTAAAAGATGCTATGTTAGATACTACGTATCCTAGATACTGCTAATTGTTATAGAACTGAGGGAACTTCAGATCCATCTGAACTATTTGACAAACTAATTGTTCCTAATACCTTTTGGAAAATAAACTATTACAGTTCCCCAATGTAAATGAAGAAAACTTAAGCTTTCTGGTCAGAAAATGAGGGCAGGCTTTTGTTCAGAGTTCTGAATGTTCTCTTTTGTTACCTTCTCCTTGCCACCTTCTCCTGTAAAGCCACTAGAAACAGTTCTCCCTATGCCCCAACATAAAGGTTCTGGATTTTTTTCATTCTGGGTGGCTGAGGGTTAATGGTGGAAGGTGGTTTCTGTTCATTCTGTTGGAATTCTGCAGGGCTTGCCCTGTCAGGAAGTTTGAAGCAACATGGTTTGTGTTTGGGAAGCTATTAGTGGGGAAGTTTTAAAACTGCTAGCCATTTTTGCATTCCAGCGTACAGAGAAGGGGTGATTAAAATCAACATCTGATATGAGGCAGTTTAAATGGAAGATAACTATGAATCATTGACTTCAATGAGGGTTGACTTGCTTGACTCAACAGATGAAGTCCATATAAGTCAAAGCTGGCTTTGCCATGATGGTTCTCACGAAACAAATGTCAGTAAATATGTCTTGCTGAGCAAGAGGAATTACAGCCTGCACATCAAAGGAGTCTTCCCTACTACTCTGTTTCTCTTCACAACTTCAACTACATTGCATCATGCCATTTTTTCATGTACATATTGCCTGTATCTTGTGTACCTGTTCAAAACTATGGACCAAGATGGTCAAAGACAGCATTCAGTGCTGGGAGGCAGGGAGAGAAGGCACATGTGTGTGAACCGACAGAGGGAACTCCCAACTAAAACCGACTGATCTTTCATTGGAATCTATCAGTAAAAATGATTGCATTTACTTCCAAGTTTTCCCCCTGCTCTTTTCCACATGAAAAAAATGAGCCAAGCTCTGAATTAATATTAATAGGTCCCAATGACATGTATGACAGCACACATACACCTTTGCTTGGACTACAGTATCAGAAAATACCTTTA